TTTCCTCTCCGTCGTGACTTCCCGGCGTTCTCTCCACGAACCGGGCAGCTGACTCACTAACACGTGTGATGCTGAAGCTGAGCTGAGACGCACCCGAAAATGGAAAGTACCGGACAGATTTTCTTTCAAACCACAAGTAGATTTGATCGAACTGTTTGGTTTTTGACATATGAGTCAAGTAAAATATTTACTTAACGACGTGGCCTATCACAATTTTTTGAATGATATACCTTGAAGGGTAAAGCCGTGTCAAGCATCCGTGTGTGTGTGCGGGAGGGCCACCCAGCGGGCCCGGCCCGGCGACGGAGGCTCTGCCCGTGGAGACGACGCCCCGCGGCACCCGTGTCTTTCGAGTTTGCTTTGCTCGGGTGGCGCGTTCCTCCTGCCGGTGCTGGCGGAGGCTGGCAGGAGTCATTGGCCCGAATTCCAGCTGCACAATGGCAGGTGGGACCACCACCCGCTCAGCAGCTGGCTTGTCACCCCCTTGACCGGGACGTTGAGTCTGGATCAGTTAGTGCAACAGCTGCCTTAATCAAAAGATTCACCCTAAACTCAAAGCCTGCTTAGGAACTGCAGCTTTTGCCCCTTCCAACCAAATCCCGGGGAACAACTGAGGCAGGAGTCCCCGGGGCTTCAGGAAGCATAGACCGGCTTCTCTCCGCAGTCCCTCGGGGCTTCGGCGCCGGGCCGAACCCCCTCCCGAGAGGACACGCTTCCCCTGCGCCCCTGCTTGCCTCCCAGTACCCCGTCCTCCTCCACCGGGACGCGGAGGCCACGGGAGGGGGGCCACACCCCGCTGGCAGGGGACACAGACTCGGCTTGGGCAGGCTGGGGAAGCAGGGCCAGGGCCCCATGCCTGTGGGACGAAGGCATACTCACGTCCCACTTCCCTCCAGCCCAGCAGACTCCCCTTTCCTGGGGGGCCCGCCCCCTGGTCGGCTGCTCCCACTCACACGGAGCTCATTGTTTCCGCAGGGCTGTGCAGGGGCCAGGAGGCTTGGCTGCCCAGGCCTGGGGGTGCGGGGGCCGTGGGCTGGGGGGCGAGAGGGGCTGGGGTGCCCTCCACCAGCTTCCCCACGTGCAGAGGAGCCCAGAAGACCCGGGCCGCAAGCAAAGACAGCAAAGCAGGAGCTGGAGGGACAGACAGACACAGACAGGCCCACGGAGCCTGAGAAAGCCGAGGCAAAGAGGGAAACTGAGGCCCAGGGACCCTGAGCTGACCTCTGTCGGGGTCGGCCGCACCCGGACAGCTCCCACGAGTCAGTCCCCGAGTCAGTCCCCGCCTCAGACAACGCAGCCCAGTGCGAGGCTGTGACGGCGGCCCCGTCGCCCACGGGGCTCCTCGTGCAAGCTGGGAGCACGAGGACGAGGGACAGTATGACGCTGGAGTGTCCTGTGGGGACAAAACCAGGCTGGAAGGGGTGGAGGGCAGCGGCCGTCAGAGCACGTGCCATGCGGGCCTTGGGCCAGAAGTAGAGGACCCGTATTCAAGAGGTATGTCACCCACGAGACCGAGAACGACACGTTCACCAGAACAGAATTGGAGCCGAGGGAAGGGACCTGCCAAAAGTGTGCCATCAGCGCTAGGAGTCTCGGCTCAGGCCCTGCACGGCGTCCCCGGTGCTGGCAGGTGGCAGGGCAGGGAGCGTGACCAGACCTGCAGGACGAGGGGAGGGGACGGCCTGTGCGGATCATGGTCACACAGCCCAGGAAGGACGGAGGACACGCCCCGGCTGTCCTCTCCCTGGCCCTTCCTGCCTCTACCCAAAGAGAGGCCAATAGGCAAGCCTGGGCTCAGCCTCGGGGCCACAGCAGAGAGGGCAGAGGGCAGGCAGGGGTCAGATAGGTGCAGAGTGAGCGTCACTTCCACCCCAAGATCCTTTTTTTTTTTTTAATTTATTTATGATAGTCACAGAGAGAGAAAGAGAGAGAGGCAGAGACACAGGCAGAGGGAGAAGCAGGCTCCATGCACCGGGAGCCCGACGTGGGATTCGATCCCGGGTCTCCAGGATCGCGCCCCGGGCCAAAGGCACGCGCCAAACCGCTGCGCCACCCAGGGATCCCCCACCCCAAGATCCTTAAGTTGTCCTGGATTGGGCAGGGAGAGGCTGCTCAGCTTCCAGGCTTCCCACACCTGCCCAGGAGGAGGTGGGCCGGGCCCCTGGAGGAGGGGAGGGAGGCAGCCAGGCTGCACCCCGCTGGGGAAGCCCCTCCCTTCCCCCCAAGGGGTCACGGGGTCAGCCGCCCCCAGGCCAAGGCTTTTCTTACGGAATCAGCCTAGGAGCTTCCTCCCTTGGCAGAAAGACATAATGACGAATTCATTCTTTTTTTTTTTTTTTTAATTGAAGTTCCATTTGCCAACATATGGTGTGACACCCAGGGCTCATCCCGTCCAGTGCCCCCCTCAAAGAGCCAATGTGACTGCATTCATTTCCCTGCAGACCGTCTGCCAGGAAGCCAAATAGAGTCGAGCACAGCCACAGGACTGCCCCGGGCGAGGGTGAGGATGGCCTGTCCTATAGGACTCAGCTGCTGGGGGCCCCGAACCCCGCTCGGGGTCAGGCACTTCCCTGCCCCCCTGGCAGGACCCCGTTCCCAAGCCAGGCTTCTCCTGCGGGGATCCTACTCCTCTGGGCTGCTGGGGCCGTCCCGTCCTCACGGCGAGTGGGTTGGCAGGCGCGGCCCTCTCTGGGGGGCTCCCGGGTGACACTCTGATGTCCTGGTTCTTGGAGTCCCTCTTGGCACCCGCAGGCGCCGTGTCACTGAGTCATGGGAGGGCCTTGCTGCCTCCCGGTCAGCATGGCCTCCCTCTCCCTCCCGGCGGAGCCTCAGGGTCCTGCAGCCTGGCGGCTTTGCCAGGACCTGGGAGCACAGCCCCTGGGGCAGCGCCAGCGGAGAGCAGAGGACAGGCCCAGGGCTGGGCAGCACCAGCCATACGGGCTGTGCCACCGGGCTCAGTGCATGACCTGGGAGGACCTGGCTGCGGTCAGCCCCCGAGCCGCAGAGTGCAGAGGGTGGAGGGGGAGGAAGCGGGCTCGGGGAGGGGCTGAGGAGTGTCCTGGCACCGACCCCTGCCTCTGGGTCTTGGGCCTGAGGGCAGGAGGGGCACAGGGAGGGCGGGCCCAGGACCCCGGGGCCTGGTGAGCCACCCTGAGGAGACTCTGGGCCCCGTGTGGTTGCTGCTCTGAGGGTGTCGGTCAGGCCTGCGCAGACCCTCATCGTGTCCCCCACGCCCGGGGCTGGCCAGAGAGTGGTCGGCCTGAGTGCACCCACTCTAAACTGGCTCTGGGTGTCACCACTTCCAGGCAGCCTGGGGCGACTCCCGGGTGCCGTCCAGGGCCACCACGACCAGCGCAGTCAGGGGCTCGAGCTCACGGTGGCCCCAGGGGGCAGCTCACCTGCTGCCTGCACCTGCAGAGCCCACAGGCCCGCTTCCATACAGGCCAGATGCGGGGCTGCCAGGGGGCACCCCAGACCTCTGCGGGGCTCCACCTGAGGCCCAGATGCAGCCTCATCCACGTTTGGTGGACAAGGAGGCCGCGCTGGCAGTGGGCACTCAGGGTGGCTGGGGTCCGCCGCTCTCCCTCTTGTCGTCTGGGAGGCTGGCGGTCCTGGCCTGTCCCTTGGCCCCAGCGTGAGCTCGGGCACACGCCTGCACGTCCCCGCTGCAGCCTCCCCGTGTGCGCCTGGCGCCCGGTCGTGGGGCCGCAGTGAGGAGGGCACCGCGTGGGGAGGACGCAGCCCGGTCCTGGCCCGGGCGCCGGGGTGTGCGGGCCTCACCCCAGTGTGCCCAGCGCCGTGAGGGCAGCGACCTCAGGGAAGGGGCCTGGCCGTCACCTGACTGCAAACGCAGCGTTGCTCCCAGAGTCACACGAAAAGGAGAAGCGCTGTGGGCCGAGCCGCCTCCTGACGGCCGCCTGAACCTCGGCGGAGGCCAACCAGAGGCCCCGCTCCAGGCTATTTTAAGCGCGGACTTAAAAAGTAAAAGCAGCTGTGAAGTGAAAAGTTTTAGGAACATTTCCATTTCCTGCAGCGATGGCGCGCAGAGCCCGGCCCGCGGCCCGGCGGCAGGGTCCCCTGCGGCAGAGGCGAGGCGTCCAGGCCTGCGCCAGCCGGGCCGGCTTCGGGGATCGCCCGCCCGGCCTCGGGCCGCCGCCGGGTCTGTGGGTCGAGGTTCCGGTGACTCATCCGGGTGGGTGGCGCAGGGCAAAGGCCGCAGCGGGCGTGGCCCCGGGCGCAGCACAGGCGGGGGAGGAGCGGACGACGCCCGGCCCTGACCCGCCCAGACCCAGCCCTGTGGGGGGCCCCTCCATCGGCCCCCTCAGTCCTAGGCTGGGGACACCCAGCAGGGTGGTCACGCAGGTGGCTCTCCACCTCCTGGTCTGCATCCTCGGTCTCCCTCTCCCTCTGTGCGCCCCTCGCCCCCCGCCGGAAGGCCCCCTGGCAGGCCTGGCTGTGTCCAGCGTCGTCGATGGGGCTGCACCTGCACACAGAGCACAGGGCCCGGCGTAGGGGCCGCCCCCAGCAGGAGCGTCCGGAGGCGGGCGGTGTCTGGGTCTGAAGGGCTCCTGCAGGTGCACCCCCGGGCGTTCCCACCCGCCCTGCTCACAGGGGGCGCCCAACAGGTGGGACCCTTGAAGGCCTCTCTCCCTACGGGTCACTGCTCCTGGGCCAGGGACAGTCCTGCCTCCAGCCCCGGGCTGACCTGTCTCGGGCCTGACTGTTGGCTTCTTGACTCTCGTGGGGAGCGGGCTCCTCTGTCCCATCCCGACCCAGGGCGCCCAGAGGGACCTGGACGTGGTCTGCTCCCAGGACCGGGGCCCCATCCTGGGGAGGGACGCGCAGCACTCACGGCCTGGTGGGCAGCTGCCGGCCACGTCCTGGGGAATCCAAGCACCACCACAGCCATGGGGGCCGGCCCCCCAGGAGAGAGGAGGGAGGGAGGGAGGGAGGGAGGGAGGGAGGGAGGGAGGGAGGGGACCACAGACATCCCAGGGCTCTGGTCCTAACGTGGGGCTTCTAGAAATGAATCAAGTGCAGGGAGGGAGGCAGTGAGTCTGCAGGTCCCCGGGGGTGTTACCTCGTCCATGTCCTCCCTGCTCTCCAGGCTGCTGTGCAGAGCCCCCCGCCCCCGACAGTTGCAGGGGAGCCCAGCCACCCTCCATCCTTCTTCCCTGGGGGCACCCGGCGCCCGTGCTCCAGCCCTGCACGACGCAGTGAGGGGCGGCTGCTGCTGCTGACGGTGCCGGGGGGCGGAGGGCCCATGGAGGACGCCCTCCAGCTGGCAGCAATGGCTGTCGGCCCCCCTGTCTTCTCTCCATCGCCGCCACCCACCTGGGATGTGAGTGTGCGGAGGCCAGACCCGGCCTGGGCTGCACAAATGCCTGGCTCCCATCACCGCAAATCAGATGTCTGCTCTCAAAGGTCAGCTCTTACTTTGAGCAAAGAGATAAATGTGGATCTTTATTTCCCCATTAGGGTGGCGTGGGCACCCGCTGCCCCGTTTACCCGTGGCCCTCCTCAGCCCTGACTCCGCAGCCACGCTCCCTCTGGGGCCGGGCACCCCTCTCTCCTGAAGCAAGTGCTCAGCCAGCTCACCTGTGTGCACCTGTGTCCCCCGCAAGCCAGGTCCAGACTTGGACTCCAGCACCAAGGGGCCGTCCATCAGCCTGGGGCGTCATCTCCACTCGGCCCCGATGCCGGCGGCTCACATGCGGTGGCATCACTTTCGGGGTCACTGAGTCTGCGGGCCCTGGTGAAGGGGCCATACCCGTTCCCCGGCCTCTGCCGCACGGTAGGTTCCAGCCGGGGGAGCGAGTCCGAGGGGCCCAGGGCTCCGGGTGTGGAGCGGGACACCTGGGAAGGTCAGAGCCCCAGCTGGAAATCGGGTGCAAGATTCCTGCTTTTTTCTTGGCTTCCTGGGAAATTCGGCCCGTTAGTGACGTGCGACGGCGGGTGGAGGGGACACCCGCAGGCGGCTGCACTAGCGGGTGACGTCAGCAGTGCACCTGCACCGTGGGCAGCTTCAGGCCCCTGGGTGGACTGGTCCCCAGTGACCGACCGGCGTCCCGGCAGCCGGGGACTGCAGCTGGGTGCCTATGCGCCACGGCGGCAGCTGCCCAGCTCCTCGGGTCAGCTGCTTGTCAGCGCTCACAGGACTACACGGTTTCCCCCGAAGATCTGTCCCCTGAGGGGGTTCCGGGGAGCGCTTGCTGCCTAGAGAGAAGGCTCCACGTTCTCCCCACGTGCGCAGCCCCGGGGAGTGGGTGCTGGGGACCCTGGTCCTGGAGACCTCGGGGGGCTGTGCGACCCCGACAGGTGAGCCCTGGCTCATGTCCTTCCAGCCCATGAATCACCTTTTCAGGAGGAAAGGGCTTGTCTTCGCCATAGGTCTGGAGGCCAGCATGGCAGTGGCTCCTTCTGGCCTGGGGGGAGCGCCTGCAAAGGCCCCACTGCGGGTCAGAGCTGAGCACGTGGCCCTCCCGGGCCTGGCCGGCCTTGCTCCCTCCTCCGGAAGCCCCAAGGGACCGGGTCCCTGCACTTGAGGGTGGAGTCCCAGCCTCGCTGAGTGGCTACTGGGTGCTCGCGGTGCTCAGGGACGCCTCTGCTTTGGGCTGAGCCCCGTGGGTGACTGGATGACGCTGATGCTGTCGGGTGCCCCATGAGCCGGCACCCCTCTGGGCGTCACGGGTCATCCCCAGCCTAAGTGCCACTTTGACGATCCAAGTGAGGCGCCGTCCTGGTTGGTGTGGGTAGGTCACGGCGCCCGCCCCCAGCCCGGGACAGCCGGGCGCAGAGCGCTCACTCGGGAAGTTCCTGTTTCCCTAGGGGCTTCCTGAGGCCGGGCCCCCGCCCCGTGGCGCTCACCCGGAGAGGGAGTGGGTGGCTCTGCCCCAGGACGTCCGCTTGCCCGCGCGAAGTCCAGAAGTTAGCTAGTGCTGGCACAGCTTCTTGCCCTGCTGCTGCGTGGAGCCGCTTTACCACGAGAGGTGACCCCACGCGGGAGGAAGACCCCACACGGCAGCGGCAGGCCTGCCCCTGGGGCCAGCTCTCCCCCAACGGTCTCTGGCCCTGGAGGCCGCTGGGGTTGAGGCCCCGGCTGGAGGCTGCTGGCTGGGTCTGAAGTCCTGGGTCGCGTGGGGGGCAGGGGGCTGGAGTGGGTGGAGGGCCCTGCACGCCTGCCCGGGGGCAGTGTCCCGTCCGGGAGCTCGGGGTTAACTGGAGAGTTTCTGAGGGAGCCTGAGCTCCCCCGGAGCAGCACCCAGGGGCCACCTGCCTCCTCAGCAGCAGGATGACCAACCCGAGGGCCATGATGTCACACGAACGAACGGCTCAAGTCACCTGGAGAGGAAGCCTGACGGCTGTTTTTCCCATGGAAACAGACCCCTGCTCCCCCCACAGGCTCTGAGGATGTGACCTCTCTCCTCGGGAAACCAAAACGACCTCTGGGGACAGGTGCGGGGCCAGCTTCCCAGGCTGCGGGCTGGACAGCAAGGTAGAAGGACCCCCTACTGGTCCTGAAATTCTGAATCCTTCTCCCACAAGGGGCCACGTTTTCATTCGGGCCCCACATCCCGGGCTCTGCAGGGGGCACCCCGGCCTGTGTGAAGGGCCAGGAGCTGCCACGGGGCCACCATGGGTGCCAGGATTAGGCTGTCTGGGTGGGAGGGGGGTGGGGGGCTCCACCCCTGGGCCCGGGGAGGGGGTGGGCTTCCGTGTCCAGGGCTGGGGGGCCAGGTAGCGCTGCCTGCCGCCCGACCCTTCTCTTCCAGGGGCTCTGAGAGGCGGACCCCCCCACCCCCCCCAAGGGGCTCCATCCGGCCTAATAATAACTGCGGGCCTGGCCCCAGGGGCCGGCTATTTTTAGAGCCCCTAACCCAGCCCCCACGTGACTCAGCAAGACCTCAGCCGGGATGAGAAAGTCGGAGGGTGGCCCGGGGCCAGGGTGCTCAGGCGGCCGCGGGCAGTGGGGGCCCCCCCCAGCCGGGAGGTGAGGAGCCCTCCCGCCGCCCCCTCCGCGCCGGCTCCGCCCCCAGCCGAGCATGGAAAATCTGATGTCAGAATTCCAGCATTGGCAAGGAATGCGGCTGACCTTCACCTCCCGGAGCCAGAGCCCAGGCTCCCCCCCAGGCCCCCAGGGGCCCTGGGACTGCCGCCCCTTCCCCTGTCTGACCTCCAGTGCGGCCCTGGCCCCACCGGCCCAGGGGGGCTCTCCGGGCACGGAGCCCCCCCCAAGGCACCCCCCGGTGTGTCCCAGGCTGGTCCCGCTCCAGGCTGGCCCTGCCCCCGCAGGCCCGGACGTGTGGGTGGCCCGCCAGGCCATTTGTTCCAGGAAGGGTTTCCAGAGCGGCTCCCCCAGGCTGGGTGGCGAACCCCTGCCCGGCTCCGGGCTCCCGGCTCCCCGCACTGCCTGCAGTGCTGAGGCCCCTGGTCCTGTCCACACCTCAAGGAGTGTCGGCAGGATGTGGGGAGGGTGGTGGGACCAGCAAGAGAGCAGTGTACATGCATGTGAGCACGCTCGTGTGTTACGGCATGTGCACGTGAGTGTATGCACGTCTGTACACGCGTGTGCTCGTGTCTCGTGCATGCACATGTATGCAAACGTGTCCTTGTGGGCACGGGCACACGAGCATAGGTGTATGGGTACACATGTGCATGCCAGACGCTCTGTGTGTGAGACACGTGTGTTCACATGTACACAAAAGTACGTGTGTGTGTGCACACGTGCATATGTAGGAGCTTTGCTCCCTTGGAAGTACGCGGAGTTCCCGCAGCACCTTCTGGTCAAGTGGAGGCACGCCGACAGCTGTTCCCGCCTGCTGCCCGGTCCCTTCCCCCCAGTGGGAGCTGTGCCCCCAGCTAAGGGAGAGGACGGGGTGAGGGCGAGGTCTGTGGGGACCTGGGTCTCTGGGCGGGGAGAGATCCCTGTGCATTGGGGCCCCCTGAAGAATCAGGGAGACACTGAGGAGCTGTGGGGGGGATGCCCTCGGGGAGGATCCCAGCCGGAGAGGGCAGGTCCTACGAGGCCTGGCCCCCCTTTCCTGGCAGGTCCGTGGCTTTGGGCCGCCCTACAGCCGGCAGGGAAGGGCAGCAGCCTGGCGTGCGCAGCCTCCCGCGCCCCGGGGGCCTGCTAGTGTCCCGGCCCCTCCTGCTCGCTCTTCCCAGGCACCCCCGGTGCCCAGCTGCGGTCCAGCTGTGAGGCATCTGTTGTTTATTCCCCAGAAAGCCAACGTGCCGGCGTTCACCTTGGACGCACAGCCTTTGGGTCGGCCGCTGTTTGTTTTCTCTGCTCGGAGCGTCAGGACGCGGACTATTTAGGGACGGTGTTGCTTCCCAAAGATGGATAATGACAGTAATTACACCTGGCCCGTCCTGCGTCTTCCGGCCCCACGTCTGTCTTCAATGAAGTAAAGAAGAATTAAAAGCCATTTTCTGGAATGAAAGCATTTTGCTGTTTTTCATTAACTTCGGGATCACCCAGGAAAGGTTTTCCCGGACAGGATACGGCTACCCGCCCGTCACAGGCTTCCTCTTCAGGTCCCGCTACGACCCCAGAAGCCCACCGCACGTGGGGAGCCAGGCCGTCCAGTCCTCGTGCGAGGCCGGGCCGGGTTCCTGCCGGCTGGTGGCATCAAGCGGGGGTCCCCTGCCCTCTGCTGGCCCCATGCTGCCTGCAGCCTCCCGCTCAGGAGCGCCAGCCTGGGCACACCAGGAGCCTGCAAGGCCCTCTCGGCCGTGGGGCTGCTCTGAGGCAGCTGTGCTGGTTCCCAAGAGCCCCCCGAGGCTCTCGCCCCCCCCAAAAAAATTCAGGATGCGGTGGACGGCAGGGGACGTCCCCTTGGTGCATGTGGATCCTGCCTGGGGGCCCCCACGGGGGCTCAGGGCCAGGCCAGTGGGAGCCAAGGGCACAGGGCCTGGGACAAAGGTGATCGGAGGACAGAGGACCCCTAGACGTGGGCCCCCCCAGGCTCCCTGCTGCAGCCTTTGTGGGACAGGGTGCTGCACCCCCTGGGAACAGAGGAAAACCAGTCCCCAGTCCTACGGGGGTGGACACGGATGGCCTCCTGCGTGCCCACACGTGCACCTGCACACAAATACGCCCACGACAGACACACACACGCTAGCCACATGCATGCACACACACCACACACACGCACAGAGCACACATCCCAGAGCCCATACGCCGGTCCTGTGTAAGGGAAGTGAAATGGCTCCCCTCCGACAACAACATGAAAGCACTAATCTTTGGACAGGAAGGAAACTGAGGCAGCCCAGGAGTCCGAGCCGGAGGAGGAGCGGGGCTTCCGTGAGCCAAGAGCAGGGGCGGCAGGGGCGCGCATGGGGCGGGGGAAGTGTGGCTCCCCGGCTCCGAGTGCCAGGCTGCGGGTGTTGGTGTGCAGGAGCTGCGGGTGCCGAGCCACGTCTGCAGGAGCGTGTCCGTGTTGAGAGAGAATCACGCACCAGCTGCCGGGTTTGGACACGTGAAGGGAGTCGAGACCTTCGGCGGCACGGTTGAAGTGACCGTGTTACAGAATGCCGGGTGTCACGTGAAGAATGCACTTGTTGGTGAGCGTGTGTCACATCTTCCTCGAATTTGCTCATGTACCGGACCTCGTGAAACCTCAAGCCTCCCAGAATATGTTTCTGTAGCGGCCACGCTTTTCCACCTCGATGAAATACGCTGGAAGGGAACGACAGGTACGACAAGGACCCTACACGTCTGGCTGCGTGGGGCGCGTGCACGAGCCTGTGGCTTCCCTGACGGCCAATGGCCGGGGGACACAGGACGGCCTCTCCTCAGGCTGGGCCGGGCAGCCCTCCTGGCTTGCCTGGAGACCCCAGCCACTAGGAAGGAAAGCAGATCCCCCCTATAGCAGGGCACGCTCAGATACTGGGACATCGTGGAATTGCTGGTGCTACCTGTTAATGGTTATGGGACGTGTCAACTTCTCTTCCCAGACCCAAACTGGGAGGTCTTCGATGTTGTCCTTGGGAGGAAGCGCGAGCATCTGAGCATTTCTCAACTATATCAATTTTGAAAGCAAACTGGGGGGAAGAACTAAGTATCTTGTAAGCAAAAACTAAAGAATTAGAAAAACGATCAAAACTGATCAGTACATCCAACTCCCGCTCCGTGGAAAGGAATGGCAACAAAGAAAGAGATCGGTGGCAAACAGAATCTGGAAAAAGAGCAAAAATGGAAATAAGCAAAATCGTATAACAAAAGACACACAGTTAATGCATGAAAATCCCAACAAAAATAATTTTATAAAATATAAGTTAACAGGGGATCCCTGGATGGCTCAGCGGCTGAGCATCTGCCTTCAGCCCAGGGCGTAATCCTGGAGACCCGGGATCGAGTCCTGCATCGGGCTCCCCACATGGAGCCTGCTTCTCCCTCTGCCTGAGTCTCTGCCTCTTGCTCTCTCTGTGTCTCTCATGAATAAATAAATGAAATCTTTTATATATATATATATATATATATATATATATATATATATATATGTCAACAAAATGGCCTCAAGAAGCATGAGAAAATAGAACACTCATGGGAGAAATTGAGGAAGACACAAGAAAATGGACACAGTCCATGCTCATGGATTGAAGAATAAATATTGTTAAAACGCCTTGCTAGCCAGAGCCATCTACACCGTCCATTCAATCTCTGTCAAAATGCCATCAACTTATTTCACAGAGGTGGAACAAATAATCCTAAAGTTTATCTAGAACCAGAAAAGACCCCGAGCATCCAAAGGAATGTTGAAAAAGAAAGCCAGAGCCGGGGGCATCACAGTGCCGGATTTCAGGGTGTACTACGAAGCTGTGGTCATCAAGACAGTGTGGTCCTGGCACAAGAACAGACACAGAGATCAATGGAACAGAGCAGAGAACCCAGACGCGGACCCTCAACTCTGCGGTCAACTCATCTTCAACAAAGCAGAAAGGAATATCCACTGGAACAAGGACAGTCCCTTCAACAAATGGTGCTGGGAACACTGGCCAGCCAGGGGCAGGAGGATGAAACTGGACCGTTTCCTCACACCGCACACAAAGATAGACTCAAAATGGGTGAAAGACCTAAATGTGAGACAGGGGTCCAAGAAAATCCCAGAGGAGAACACAGGCAGCGACCTCTGTGACCTTGGGCACAGCAACTTCTTGCAAGACACATCTTTACTGGCAGGGGAAACAGAAGCAAAAATGAACTGTTGGGACTTCATCGAGATAAAAAGCTTCTGCACAGCAAAGGAAATAGTCACGAAACCAGAAGACAACTGACAGGATGGGAGAAGATATTTGCAAATGTCTTATCAGATCAAGGGCTAGGATCCAAGATCTATAAAGAACTTATCCAACTCAACACCCAAGACAGAAACAATCCAGTCATGAAATGGGCAGAAGACGGAGGAGGACATAGACGCGGCCACCAAGCACGTGGGAACGTGCTCCACATCACGTGTCCTCAAGGAAATAGAGATCAAAACCACGATGAGATCCCACCTCACCCCAGTGGGAATGGGGAGAATAAGACAGGAAGCAGCCGGTGTTGGCGAGGATGTGGAGGAAGGGGAGCCTCCTGCACTGCCGCTGGGGATGTGACCTGGTGCAGCCCCTCTGGACAACACCGGGGAGGTTCCTCAAAGAGTTAAACAATGACCTGCCCTACGACCCGGCAATTGCCCTGCTGGGGATTCACCCCAAAGATACAGATGCAGCGAAACGCATGGGTCACTGACCTCTGCCTCCGAGACTGACAGTACATGTTAATTAATTGAATTTAAATCTAAAAAAATTTAAAAAGCAGCACAAGAAAAACTATACGGGCCGATCAATGACTACAGAAGACTTTCGAAAGACGTGTGGGGGACCGTCCGTTCATTCTACGAGGTCGGGCCGCCCGAGGAGCCCCAGCCCCGCGGAGGTCTGTGCCCACGGACACGCCGGGGCTGCCCCAGACGTGCTTGTGAGAAGCAGCAGCTTTTCTCCTTCGTGGGAAGTGCGCTCGGGACCCCGGGGACGACCCCCAGGACCCAGCCTCCCGCGTGTCGCGTGTGCTCAGCTGTGCCTGCAGGCTGGGAGAAGCGAGCATGTGACGTGCCTTCCAGAGGGTTTTTGTTGCACATGTGACACTTGCGTGAAAAATGACTTTTTTCCATCTCTCGTTCCAGAACATGAGCGCTTCCCGTCCGCTGGAAGGGCTCCATCTGTCCAGCGGTCCGGCATCCTCGGTTCAGCCACAGGCCCTGCGCGGCCAGGAGCCGACGGACGCTGCACGCTCGGCGGGGCTCACGCACGCCTGCTGCGGGGGGGGGGGCCGCGGCCGGGAAGCCCAGGCTGCCGTCATGGGGCGCCCACCTCCCAGGGCCCTCGGGGCCTCCCGGCCTTCCCTAAGCCCCTGCAGATCCCCGTCTGGATCCGTCCGTGGGCCCAGGACCATCCGGGAATGACAGGCCCACTCAAGCCATCAGGCTGTACCCCGCAGGGCCGGGGGTGCCGACCCGGGAGCGAGCCGGAGCCCAAGAGGCCCCGGGGGCTGGGGGGGTCACTGGCAGATGTGCGGGGGCAGGGGGGACCTCTGGCAGGCTCGCAGGCCCAGTGTCCCCAGAGCAGCTGCCCCCGGGCACCCGCTGAAGCCCGCGGCCATCGCTCTGCGGCCTCTTTCTGGGAGTTTCCACAGGAGCCCCTGCTCCTTCGCCCAGCGTCTGACGGCCCCTCTGGGATGTGTTTTAATATCCTCGCCAAATTGAAATGTGAGCCACCTACTTACAATCAGAGCACTCGGCGCGGGACGAGCTCCCTTGATCTTGGGAAGGACGGTTCCGTCGCTCCCTTGAAGGCACGTCTGCGTCCGCGTCAGGACAGGGCCGGGGGCTCTGGGGCCAGGATGGGAGCTGCCGAGTCCCAGGGGCCGCCCGAGGACGGGCTGAGGCCCACTTGGAGGCGCGGTCCCCCATGTCCGGTCGCACGCGAGAGCTCCTCCCGGCCCGGCCTGCGTCCTGGCCCGCCGTCCTTCCAGGACCCCGAGGGCCAGCGGGAGGCCAGCTGCCTCCAGAGGGTGCCCGGACGGACCCCACGACTCAGCTCTGTCGCAGCACCGAGTGGCCCCTGTGCAGATGCAGGCCCCTCCTCGGTCCGGGGGGACACTGGGTTGGGGGACTTTTCCCGGGCCGGTCCCTCCAGGTACGAGCTCATGGCTAAGGATGCTCCCCTCACCCCCCGGGTGCAGGGCATGAGGGTCACAGGGGCTCATCTGGCAGTGCAGCTCCGGGGGCACATGTCACCACCGCCCGGACCTCGCCGGGCCCTCTCCGCTCATGCACCCTTATAGGGCTCCCGCAGGACTTCGTGGGCCAGCGGGGTTTGAGGAGGAACCAAGTGTGTTGGGTGGTGGGGACTCAACCTGGGGCCTCCGTGGGATGCGCTTGGGGTGCACGATCCGCCCCCACAGGCCCCTCTGTTCCATCTCCTGCACTAACCAGCCCGAACACAGCGGCTACCTTTAGCCTTTGGGGAGCCAACCCCCAGGGATATCGGACCATTCACCATTTTTATCAAAGATCCAAGAATGTCCACCAAGAACAAGTTCCGACTGTGTCTGAAGGCCGGGGATGTTTCCAGAAGGGGCACAGACCGTGCGCTCCCTCTGCCACCTGCCAGCAGGGATGCAAAGAGCCCCGCATCTGGGAGGCCCCCGGGAGGTGCAGGTGGGGCTCGCAGGACAGCTCCTGGGGAACCCGGGTCCGAGGGAG